TATTTTATAATCATGAAAGAGAAAAAGGACACTCTGTAGGAAAAAGGATAGGAAGTTTGAGGCAATTGTCATGAGTCTGGTCTGAAGTCGGGAATGAGGTTGAGCAGGTGTGCCCTGTGATCAAGGTGGGAGCTGTTAAAGGAGGAGCAGCTCTGCACTTTGAAGAGCTTGTGAATAAGTTGTTTAGGATCTTGAACTGGAATGAACGTTGTGCCCTAAGAAGGGGAAAATGCTCTCCAAAGCTTCAGATACAGAGGAAAACTCTGCTGTGAGTGAAGGTCAACCGCTGGAATATTCCCAGAGTCAATGAATTCAGCAAAATGGTTATCATTGTTGTTACAGTTAATAATAAAAAATAGTGGTAGTAACAACAACAACAAAAAACACCTGTTGTTTGTCAAGTACTTTCTGGGTGCCAGGCATTGTGCCAAGCGCTTCATGTCCATGATCTCTTACTCCTCACAGCAACTCTTAAAGGTATATCCCTCTTCGTCTCTGTTTTACAGGATGGAGAAACTGAGCTCAGGATGGTTAAAAAATCTTAGGAAGTGACGGAGCAGGAATTTGTTCATAGTAGACAGTCCACCTCCAGAGCCCAGTGTTCTCAACTATTCTGCCCGCTTCTTAAGGGCAGTCAGTAGCTGATCAAGGTGACCCCTCATGGTTAGGTATCCCTTTGTGGTGGCCTCAGTGTGCAGTTTCAGAAACTGCATGGGAGAACTGCGTGAAGTTTTTTATCAGTTCACCAAGGACATGATCGAGAGATTTGGGGGGACTTTTTATACTTACCAAAATCATCAGACACTTAGTAATACATATGAATACCAGTTTCTTAATTTACAAGGACAGCTATATCTGTAAGGCAGATGAGACACTGGAGTGGCCTGGCCAGAGCATCGATTCTCAGGAGAGTCTGGGAAGCCCTTCTATTCCAGAGTGGATGGCAAGTACAGAGTCTGCCCTGGAGGACTCCTCCTTCAACAAGGTAGCTGGATGCACCCATCTTTCCTCAAAGCAAGAAGGGCTCCCTGATTAGGCCAGGGCACACCTTCACCTGCCCTGCAGAAAAACACTGACAGATTCTTATCTTTGGCTTGTCTTTCTCCATGGGGACCTCCATCCTTCTGTTATGACATTACCATAGATTGATATGGTTAATTAGCGCTCAGTTTATCTCAGATTATTTGTTTTTTTAGTGTCTGATGAAATTTTGGAGGCGTCCTTCTCATTAGCAACAGGCTTACAAACCATCTCCTCAGGTAGGTCACTTTTGCACACAGCTAATTTTATTATTTGATGATACTTGCTTCACTTTCAGAGGTCACTGAACTCTGACCTTGTCCCCAAACTCTGGATCCATAACCTGTTTGGAGCTTGCAGTTAGTTCCCTCTACTCTGATTATAAAACTTGTTGCCACTCTTTCCCTTGACTTGATTGTTAAATTGCTGATTCTTTTCTTGTTGTATAAAATAATGTAAAATTACAGTTTCCCATATCAAAAACTCATGGTCTATAGGACCAGAAATTTGTTTTTCCTCAGAGATCTTTCAATGGAGTCAGAAACTTAATTTTCTTTGTTAGTGCCCTGGGTTCCCCTCTTGAATTATTTCAGTAGTAACTGCGTTTAGATAACTTTCTGTGTATAGAAAATGAAGCTCCCCAACTGACTCTGACTTTCTGTAGTAATGCCTGATATTTTGTGAAACAGTTTAAAAATCTTCTCTGACTGATTGAATTGTCTAGATGAGAGTGAGCAAGCCAGTGCCCAGGCACCACCTGGAGCCCAGTGATTGTTTTTACATAGCCCTTGAACTAAGAATAGTTTTCACATTTTAAGTGGTTAAAAAAATCAAAAGAAGACACATGAGCCTAAGCTGGTTTGCCTCTGGATAGAGCACCAGCCTGCGGACTGAAGAGTCCCAGGTTTGATTCCGGTCAAGGGCACATGCCTGGGTTGCGGGCTTGATCCCAGTAGGGGGTGTTCAGGAGGCAGCCGATCAATGATTCTCTCTCATTATTGATATTTCTGTCTCTTTCTCCCTTTCCCTTCCTTTCTGAAATCAATAAAAAAATATTTTTTTTAAAAAAGAAGACACATGAAATTCAAATGTCAGTGTCTATAAGCAGTTTTATTGGACCACAGTCATGCCCACTCTTTTAGGTATTGTCTGTGGCTGCTTTTGCATTACGACTGCAGAATTGAATAGTTGTGACAGACCATATGGCTCACAGAAGCAAATATGTACTATCCAGTCCATTATAGAAAAAGTTTGCGGACCTCCTGTGTCTGCCTGCCAAAGTTGTGTGACTTGAAGAACTTTGAAAATGATTTACATTTTGTTGGGGTAGTAATGTTGTCCTGAAGAAGTTGGACCGGCTTTTCCCCCCAAAAAATGTTTCTCAAATGTCGAGTTTAATTAGATGCACAGCTTTTAAAAGACATTCAATAAAATACTCGATACATGATATGTCTCAGCATTGCTCAAATGGATTTTAGGACATTTCCAATATTTCAGTAAAAGAGTCTAGTGTCCTAAAGCAGGTTGTCTTATCTTAGAAATCAAAACTTCTCTGAATTCAGCCAAAAGAAAACCATTCTCCTTTTCTAAATTTGCTCTAATCAATGTTTGAAATTTTGAGTCCAAGATCTTTGTGTTGATTATTTCCCCTCTCTCCTTTACTCACTCCCCCTTAACCTCTTCCTCCCTCCCAGTCTCTCCCTCCCCTTCATTCTTTCCTTCCTTTCTCCTGGTATCAGAGAAAGAATAATTACCTTTGAAAATTGGTCTAGGACCAATGTGACTTTTTGGCTGCTTTGGATAAGATGATCCAGAGCTCACGTCATTCAGGATCAGAGCATGGGGACCATGAGATTATCTGATCTCATCTAAGAAATGGAGAATAGGTGTTTCTGCACTTGTGAAAATGGAATAGGTTTAGGGGGAGGGACTGGTTGACTCACTGTAGTTCCCATCAGCTATTTGACTGTTTAGACTTGTATTTAAAATTCTGTCTCCTGTTTTTAAATTTTTCCTTAATTATATCTTTTGCATGCTCTTTATCTTAATCTTAGGTTAGATCTTTTTTTTCCTGCCCACTAAAATTTCCAGCCTTCCACAAAGCTGACAAAATATAGAGAACGTATCTCAATTCTTGGAGTCACTTTTTGTATATCCAGCAACAATCCTAACAACTTTTTCAGGGAATTTAGACTCCCAACATTGTGGTTTTTTAACTTAATTGTAGCTGTCATTGATGTAACTTCAATGTAGGAGTAACTTCTAAATAGCTTTCTAACCCCCTTCCCATTTTGTTCACATCATTTTCCTTGCTGTCATCATTTTGGGTTTCAGAATAAATAGAGTAAAGAAAAAAACAAATAGAGAAAGCATCCTGTTATAGAATAACAGGATAATTTTGGAAATGCTTGTTGGTGCCTCATAGATTATGCCTCATTCACTGTCCTTGCAACATGATCAGTAGACTTTGAGAAAGCTTAAGAGATTGTTAAACATGAAGAAATTGTGTTGTTGTCTAACCTATAAATGAACAGTATTGCTGGGGATAAGGTTGCAGTTTAATAATGCTTCCATGATGTCGCCGGTTCTTTACACGTATTTTCACAGAACTAGAAATTTGAAAATTTTAATGCTTATAGCCTTTGATCTTTCATTTCCACCTCAAGAAATTTATCCTTCAGAGATACACAGCCATATAAAGTTGGAGATAGATGTGTGTATTGGGGGAAAGGAGGGGTGGACACTGCAGCTGTTCATAAGAGCAGTTAAAGGGACACAACCTAAATGCCCACCAGTAGTGCAAAACCAGCCAGTAAAAACAAAGAGGTGTGTTAATGTGGAAATAGACCCATGTATCTCCAGGGAGTTTTTCAAACTGCTTGTGAGCATCCTGTCTCCTCCCCCACCACCAGATCCCCGAGCCCACTCGAGACTCCCTATACATGAGAGCAATGCTGCTAAGAATGTGAACCAGCTGTTCCCATAGCCTTCCTGGATTCAGGGTGTGCGGAGTCCCAACACTTAAATTGAAGCTTCTACTCCCCGCCTCCCAAGTCTAAAATCTCTGAATATAAAACTACAACCAAACCTGACTGGATCCTGATGAAGTCACAGAAATAAGCCAAGAGAACTAGTGGAAAATAAGAAAAAGGACAATTCTCAGGAACCCAAGACTGCTTCTGGTCCCCACAAGCGTGTTTCAAAGTGGGGAGGTTTGGAGGTTGAGAAGGGATTTATTGGAGCAAGGAAAGCTCCTAAAGAATTCTGTGATCATGGACTTGAGCTGCTTTCCTTCAACTTTTGCTTCCATCTGTAATCATAGCTCATCTGAGTTTTTATTGCTAGAGGAACCTTAGAGATCCATGCTTATTTTACAGTCAAGGAGACCGAGGTGCACATCTCGCTCTTCACTGCAGAGCTGGTTAGAGTCGCGGCTCTGAGTTAGTGTTCTCCTGCACTGTGTAACTGGTCAGTTGTAAAACATAGGTGAGATTTTATTTGCAGAAGGAAAAGAAGTTGAACCATATTTTCCTCCTTTATAGAGGGTATTTACTCTTTCCAAGGACAGTGAGACAGTTGTACAAAGTGAATTACAAAGGATAATTTATCCTCCCCCTTCATGGTGACTGGGCCATGTTATTGGTATTCTTAGAGAAGTGAGCTATAGAAAATAGGGTACCTTCATGGTGGCTTGGATGGAAGGATGCTGGTCTGCTGTAAAGTCAGAGGTGTTGGAATTGTTTGACCACCCTGGTATGGTGGAAGGCTCGAGTTAGTTTCACCTAACTCACGTTTCAGTGTCTTCTGCTCAGTCCCCAAGGGCTCAGTGTGGTGAGGAGTGTAAGGGTTTGGGTTTGTGCCCAGCTGTTAACAGGGTTAGAATGTCCTATACACACAATTTGTCCGTGTGTTCAGCAGATGTCAAGTCCCTGCTATGGGTCAGATACTGTTTTATGTGCTGGGATCTAGCACTTCAACAAAATCAACAAAAGTCCCTGCCATCTTGGCCTCTACGTTCAGCAGAGGGAGACGGACTAAAGAAAGAAATAAAACGGATAGAATGTGAGATGATGATATGGCTGGAAGGGGGATAGGGAAGTGGTATTGGCGGTTTTATAAATAGGGATTAGTCAGGAAAGCCACAGTAGAGGTTGACATCTGAGCAATGACCTGAAGGAGGTAGAAAGGGAGCCATTGTTCCAGGGAGGGAATGGACAACTGGGGCCCAGCCGTGATGTGGGAGCATGCAGAATTGGGTTGGGCGGGGGTGGGGGGGATAGTGTGGTGAAGCCACAGAAGTCAGGGGCAGTCGTGGATGATGATGTGGCTTATTCCTGCTACTTCATCAAAATCCAGTTGGGTTTTGTTGTAGTTTGATATTCAGAGAGTTGGGACTTGGGAGGCAGGGAGTAGGATCCAGACAGCCTATGGCAATGACTTTGGCTTTTAACAGGTTGATATGTGGCCACTGAAGGGCTTTGAGCAGAGTGACATGATCTGACTTAGGTTTGTGTTTTTTTTTTAATATATGTTTTATTGATTTTTTTTACCTAGAGGAAGGGAGAGGGATAGAGAATTAGAAACATCGATGAGAGAGAAACATTGATCAGCTGCCTCCTGCACACCCCCTATTGGGGATGTGCCCACAACCAAGGTACATGCCCTTGACTGGAATTGAACCTGGGACCCTTCAGTCCGCAGGCCAACGCTCGTCACTGAGCAAACCGGTCAGGGCTGACTTAGGTTTTGTGATTGATTTCTTTCCAAAATTAATATTCCAAATTGACTTTCCAAAGGCTGTACTAATTTATATTTCCATCAGCAAAGTAAGGAGACACCTATCTTCTTACACTTCCACAACACAAAGTAGTATTAAACTTCTTAATTTTTACCCATTTGATAACAAAAATAATATTTTATTATTTTAATTTGCATATTTGATTTTGAACAGGATTGACTATACTTTTTTGTGAACTACCTTTTCATGTTCTTTATCCATTGTTTTGAGTATGTTGTCTTTTTCTTAATTTTCTAGTGGCTTTTTCTACTTTAATGAAGTGGCAGGTGTTTTGACTGTGTTTATGATACATAATTTTTCTCCTTTACAGAAGTTTGAAATACTTAAGTAGTTATAGTTATCTTTCTCCCTTTTGTAGCTTCTAGGTTTTAGGTCATATTAAGGCCTTACGTATTTTAAGATAGATAGATATCACTATTTCTTCTAGTACTTTGGTAACTTTATTTTTTTATATTTAACTTTTTATTCCACTTGAAATTTATTTTTGTACGAGTCCAGGATGACTTTTTAAAAAATGTATTTTTATTGATTTCAGAGAGGAAGGGAGAGGGAGAGAGAGATAGAAACATCAGTGATGAGAGAGAATCAATCAGCTGCCTCCTGCACGCCCCTTACTGGGGATCAAGCCCACAACCCGGCATGTGCCCTGACTGGAATCGAACCCTGACCTCCTGGTTCGCAGGTGGACACTCAGCTATGAACCACAGCAACCGGGCAGCATTTCTTTTCCAGTTGCTTGCTGCTCGTCTCGTCCCTACTTCCTTTATCCCCACTGGTTTGAATTGCTACCTTGGTTTCATTCCAGGTTCTCTTGAATCTGGCACCTACTTTAAAATGTTTTTTTAAGGTAATCTTACCACCAGTTTGATTTATGGCTGGGAGATTTGGTAAACAAATATTGGGTATCTTCTATTACCTTTCTCTCAATGTCTTTAGGAAGATTACTGCCCAGAGTTGGGGGTCTCATAGTAATAACGATTGACATGAGTGGGATGAAGGGGGACTTTAGTAAGCTCCGTTTCACTGTGCAGGGTATGACAGGTGGGGACAGGGCAGTGGGATGGGTTTCTTAGTGTGCCAGCTGAGTTGGAGGAGGGCACATCCCGCCATCCCCAGCAGGGTAGAAGTGTGCCTGTGTCTGTGCTAAGATGACGCAGTGTTAACTCACATGGAACAGGCATTCAGAAGTAAATTTGTTAACTGAGTGATATACAGAAATTAAAAAATTCATGGTGAAAAGGGAGAGGTGGGAAAATAGCCACTTCGCTTGTTATGTTTCTGCTCCTGAAGCTGATTTAAATAGGCTGTTATCGCTTGCTCATCTTGTCTGCCTCTTTGTGTGAAATATTAACGTTGTGAAATTCAAATATGTTTGTGCAATGGAGCCATGCTTTTATTTACTCATAGATTATTTTAGCCACTAGGTAAATAGTTAGCTTGGCTAGCAGTAGAAACACTTCATTGTGACTGATTTTGACTTGTAGTGTATATATCAATACAAGTGTATGCTGAGGTGGCTTGTTGACAGGACTGGGACCAGAATCTCAGTCTTGTGCTTTAGCTCCACGGTCTTAGACTAAGCTACTTCAAGGTATGCTGTTCCACAGTGGGAACAAAAGACATGGCATATCCTTGCGCAGTGTACATGCATGAGGAGTGCTCCCAGGGTTTGACTTTAATTCCTTGGAGTTTTCCCTACAGAACGGGCTGGACAATGGCCCAGAACAAGCTATTCAACAAGATCCTCAAAGCGCTGCAGTCTGACCGGCTTGCCCGCTTGGCCAACGAAGGGGTGAGACTCCAGAAAGCTGCCCACAGTGTGTGCCCCCCACCCCATTGCTGACAAGGTGGACCTCATGTTTTATTGCTCCATGTCCATCTTTCAGGCTTGCAATGAGCCAGTGCTACGTCGAGTGGCGGTGGACAAGTGTGCAAGGAGAGTGCGGCAGGCTCTGGCAAGTGTAAGCTGGGACACCAAGCTGATCCAGTGGCTGCATACCACCCTGGTGGAGACTTTGAGTCTGCCCATGCTGGCGGCCTACCTGGATGCCTTGCAGACGCTAAAAGGGAAGGTAAGGCTATGATTGGTATCTGTCTTGTGCTGGGGCAGCCAGCCTCTGCTGTGGGCTCAGGAAGTGGGGCTTAGCAAGGTCATTGCTTGGTCAGCCAGGAGAGCATGACTGAATGGCAGGTCTGCTATTAAAATAGGAGACATGGTATCACTTCACATTTTTGTCTGGTGTAAACGTCTTCAGCCCTGCTGGCTCCAGGATGAGGTGTGGACTTGAAAACCAGAATACACTTGTAGCCTCTCCAGCCTTGCAGCTTGTGGTTTGAGTCACCTCTGAGGTCAGGTGAGAGGAGAATTCAATTATCATGCAGAAGATGAAGGGTTTACCAGGCAGGGGTATTGAGAAGGGGCCAGAAGCAGACCTGTGAACTTAAGAGTGCAGGGATGGGGAGAGGGAGGTGTCCAGAGCAGGGAGGGAGATTCATGCCTCAGTCTCTCCTCATCGTGGGGTGAGCCTTCAGTAGCAACACTTTGATTTTAATAATTCTCTATAAAACATCTATATTTTTCTGCATTCTCACTGAGACAGTATTGCACAAACTTAAATTGGTTTGTTTTCCTGATTCCAGTTTGTTGTGATTTCAGTTACTGCCAGTTCATTGTGGTAGATTATGGGTTTTGGGGGCAGATAGCCTGGCTCATCTCATCTCAATCACTAGCGAGCTGTGTAATCTCGGATGTGTCTCCGTTTCCTCATCTCTAGTACATGGCTAATAATAATACGTATCTAGGTTTTTTGTGAAAATTAAATTAGTTGATCCAGATAGAATGCTTGGCACAAAATTTGGCCAAGTAAGCCCACAGCGACTGTTAATGGTTGTATAAGTTTATAGGTTCTTGAAATTTTTAGAGCATTTTGCTCTGATACAAAATGGCCCCAGACAACTTGGATTAATTCAGTTCTTGACTTTTTTTTGCCTTAAGTTTTTCTTTCTTCTCCTTTGTGGGAAGCTGGCCCATTTTGTTGGTATAATTTGCCTGGCCAACAGCTTCCCCAGCCCTACCCCCAAATTTTCAGACTCATTGTTTCCCACCTGTTTTTCAGTAGAAGGATGCTGAGTTTGTTTGAAAACAAAAGTAGACTGATTTAGTGCAGAAATAAAATTCAGAACTAGATACAATAATGATATTCATGGTAGGAAATTTGATATTAGTTTATTTATTCAACAAATAATTTATTTTGTGCCTATAATGTGTCAGGCATTGGGGTGGGCAAACAGAAATGCCCCTACTCCGATAGAACCTGCTTTCTAGTGGAGAAAGAGACAGATGAGAAGGTAGCCCCAGGCGTCCCCTTGCTGCTGCTCCACAGTGGAATCCTGGGCCCAGAGGAGTGGGGGTGGGGGTGGGGCCATGATAAGACCCGGCAGAGAATGGCAGCCTGAGAATGTTTCAAGCATTTTCAATGTTCCCCACAGACTCTACCCATGTAAGAGTACAGCACTGGTCCCTGTGCTCTTGAGATGAGTGCTGCTGGTGCCAAGTCCCATTTTCCAGTGACTGCCGTCCTCTGTGTGGCCAGTATGACTGCAGTGTAATTCCCCTTGTAAGGAAGGTTGCATCGCTTCCTTATTTAGTTACTATCTGAACAGTCCCAAGTGAACGGGGTGGTGTTCAGATTTTATGAGCGTCAGACTTCTGGGGGGACTCCACAGGTGTGCACAGTTGCTGCAGCCAGGTCACAGTGCAGGTTAGCAGGAGTGGCAGAGGACACGCTAGTACCGGTCAGCAAGGGCCCCGGTTTGAGGTGCTGTCCTCTCCAGGCTGTGCTCTCAGCAGTGGTTCCATCAGACTCTTGCTTTCCCATGACTGTCAGAGTTAAAGAAATATTTTGCCTGGTTCCCAAAACTCTTTTTTAAAAAAATTTCTTTATTTTTTTAAATTAAATCTTTATTCAGATTATTACAGTTGTTCCTCTTTTTTTCCCCCCATAGCTCTCCTCCACCCAATTCCCACCCCACCCTCTGCCCTTACCCCTCCCACTGTCCTCATCCATAGGTGCACGATTTTTGTCCAGTCTCTTCCTGCACCCCCACACCCCTTTCCCCCCAAGAATTGTCAGTCCACTCCCTTTCCATGCCCCTGGTTCTATTATATTCACCAGTTCATTCTGTTCATCAGATTTTTTATTCACTTGATTTTTAGATTCACTTGTTGATAGATATGTATTTGTTGTTCATAATTTTTATCTTTACCTTTTTCTTCTTCCTCTTCTTAAAGAATACCTTTCAGCATTTCATATAATGCTGGTTTTGTGGTGATGAACTCCTTTAGCTTTTTCTTATCTGTGAAGCTCTTTATCTGACCTTCAATTCTGAATGATAGCTTTGCTGGATAAAGTAATCTTGGTTGTAGGTTCTTGCTGTTCATCATTTTGAATATTTCTTGCCACTCTCTTCTGGCCTGCATAGTTTCTGTTGAGAAATCAGCTGACAATCGTATGGGTACTCCCTTGTAGGTAACTGACTGTCTTTCTCTTGCTGCTTTTAGGATTCTCTCTTTGTCTTTTGCTCTTGGCATTTTAATTATGATGTGTCTTGGTGTGGTCCTCTTTGGATTCCTTTTGTTTGGGGTTCTCTGCGCTTCCTGGACTTGTAAGTCTGTTTCTTTCACCAGATAGGGGAAGTTTTCTGTCATTATTTCTTCAAATAGGTTTTCAATATCTTGCTCTCTCTCTTCTTCTGGCACCCCTATAATTCGGATGTTGGTACGCTTGAAGTTGTCCCAGAGGCTCCTTACACTATCTTGATATTTTTGGATTCTTTTTTCTTTTTGCTTTTCTGGTTGGGTATTTTTTGTTTCTTCGTATTTCAAATCTTTGACTTGATTCTTGGGATCCTCTTGTCTGCTGTTGGATCTCTGTATATTAATCTTTATTTCAGTCATTGTATGCTTAATTTCTAGTTGGCCTTTTTTCATATCCTCCAGGGTCTCACTAAATTTATCGGCAGTTTCCAGAAAATTCTTGAAAAACCTTATAACCGTGGTTTTGAACTCTATATCCAGTAGTTTGCTTTCCTCCATTTCTGTCATTTGTGACCTGTTTCTTTGTCTCCGCATTTTTTATGCTTCCCTGTGTTGGTAGAATGGCTTTGTGTGCTAGGTGTCCTATAGGGCCCAGTGGCTCAGCCTCCCCAATTACCTGAGGTGAACACTCTTTGTGCACCCCTTTGTGGGCTTTGTGCACAGTCTTGTTGTAGTCTTGTTGTAGTTAAGCCTTGATTGTTGTAGGTATCACTGGGAGGAATTGACCTCCAGGCTAATTGGCTGTGAGAATCAGCTGTGTCTGCAGTGGGAGAACTTCTGTGCTGAAGACACCCTTCTGGGGCAAGACTTGCTTCAATGGGGTTTTGGTGCTCACTGAGTCTGCCCCCTGAGTGTGTCCCTTATGGATCTGAGGAGTTATAATCTGTATGATCCCACTCTGACCACTGGGTACACTGGCTCTTGGATCTAAGGAGGTGCTAATTTAGCCCCT